CTCTTAAGGACTTTAAAAACCTCAAGTATCTTACATTAAAGGCTCATCAGTAGACTCCGCAGTTTTCTAGGGATCTTTAGAACTTCTAACAACCTATTATAAACTTCTGGAGATCCATAAGGGTGTTTAATTGTTGTGTAAACGACATGCAGACGTTATTTCAGTTGAAATACCAAAAATAATGACGGTACACTCTGTATATCACAATATTTTAATTCACTAAAGGAAATCTGAGGGTTTATTTACGAATAAGTCCAGAATTGGCTTGTTTCATTTGAATTTGTATTTCCGTAGTTGTTTTTCCATCTTAGGATTGTTTGTTTGTGAATACCAGAAGAAGGAGATTATTTTGTGACCGATGTGGCGTTTCGTTAAATATTGGAGACGAAAAAAGAACGTTGCTGGTTCGCGACGGTTGGAAAGCGTATACGTTTTATTTACGCTATTTTTTATTTGGAAAGCCCCCCCAATTTCATTCTATTCATAAGGGGAGCCTGACCAGGCAGTACTTAGGTACACTAGGCTTATTGTGCCTACCTTTCTTTCGCAACCAGATTAGGAACCCGTTCCTTTCAATAAAGGATCGGACCCTGTTTAGCCTAAGTTGCTTCATCCTCCCCTTCCACAACAACTGTTGCCAAGGAGCTTCGTTAAGAAGGCCTTGGACTGTCTGAGGGCTGTTGTTGCTTGTTGCCACTGAACCTGCAATTGGCTGATCACCCAGTTTTTAATTCTGGCCGTGACAACGGAAGGGGCAATTTCCCCCTATTCCACAGTGAACCAGCTGCCAGATCAAGATTACGTTATTAGACTTACCTAAGATATCTAGAGTTCGTCTGCATTCAAGCAGCGTAGCCGACCGTAACATGTCTCCTGACAGGGCCCTCGGTGCCATCTGACTCTCACTGCATGTGTATATATGCTTATTACGAAAACCTCTACGGAGGTTCTCCAGTGCACAGGTCATGGTAGCAAACACCTCTGCCTAAAACACGGTGCTATGCTGACCAAGGGACAATATACAGGGTGGCCAACTAAGAATGCGAGGTACTGTATCTGAGAATCTATCCATCGTAGAGGCTTGCGGTAAAAAATTTATTACTAAAACGGCCACGAGCAAAACCTGGAAAATATTTTTTAAGTTTCCCAATTGACCGCTAGGGGGCGTAAGTGCAATCTGGAATCCAAAAAAGTGATGTTTCTGTGAATTCCGCTATATTAACCTAACAAAAAATGTCCGGTTTTTGAAGTCGACGATAATCTGAACAATTTTTGTTTGACAATTTTTCCTGTATCTCTAAAAATCAAGTGGTGGGGGGTATTAAAAAGTTTCCGTAAAGAACACCCTGTAGCTTCGAAACGGCTGAGCCGATTTAAACAAATTCGGGTTAGTTCAAAAGAGGTATTATTCAGCTACAAATATTATACTATTTGAAGTTTTGTTAGTTTCACATATCATCACTTGAGGGCTTTTTTCGCAATTACGACAGAAATAACTAATTTTCTCAACAAAAAAATAAATGCATTGGTTCAATTTTTGTTTCGTGAAAAAGTAGCTAAGTGATGCCTAAACAAGCTCGCGAAAACAGCATCTTTATATATATATATATATATATATATAATTTTTTTGAGAAAATTAACCATTTTTGTCGGAATGTCGAAAAAAGCCCTCAAGCGGCGATATGTGAAACTAACAAAACTTCAAATATAACTTTGTAGCCGAAGAATGACCCTTTTCAATTAACCCAAGTTTGTTAAAATCGGCTCAGTCATTTTGAAGATACAGGGTGTTCTTTACGGAAACCTTTGAATACCCCCCAGCACTTCAGTTTTAGAGATACAGGAAAAATTGTCAAACAAAAAAGGTTCAGATTATAGTCGTCTTCAAAAACCGGATATTTTTTGTTAGGTTAATATAGTGGAATTCACAGAAAAATCACTTTTTAGATTCCAGATTGTAGTTACGCCCCCTAGCGGCCATTTCAGAAACTTAAAAATATTTTCCAGGTTTTTCTCGTGGCCATTTTAGTAATAAATTTTTTTACCGCAAGCATCTACGATGGACAGGTTCCCAGATATAGTACTTCGCATCCTTATTTGGCCACCCTGTACACTAATGCCCGTTCTTCTTTCCATTAGGGACCCGTTTGTGAACCACACGAGTCCCTTCGGTTTCAGGAAGGGCCATATAAGTTGAGCCACTGCTCCCTGTCCGGGAGGGTGAATGTCTTAGTAAGACAGACCGGATCACATTCTCTCTTGCGAGGAGGGGATCGGACCTGAGGGTTTCCTTCAGATCCGCTCGTGCTCAAAACTGCCTTGATCCTCCTACTCGTCCCAATCACTTAGCCTTCCATTTCTCTGCTTCTACAGCTAAGTGTAAAGGCTCTAGTCCCAGAAGTGCCTGAATGACAAAAGTTGGCGTGGTTTTCATGACTCCAGTAACAGTGACTGTACTTTACCCAGCTGCCTCCTGTAGGTTGCCTTGCGCATGGCAGGCCACAATACGAATGTACCGTACAGTTTGATTGGTCTTATCACTACAATGTGAAGTTAATATACCAGTCGAGGGTTTGTAATGTTCCTAGGGGTCTATCAAGCCGACACTGAAAACGTTGACTTACCCTGTACTTACCGTTGGCAACTCTGGGAATCAACTACAAGCAGAGCCACTTACCTTTCAAGTCGAAACGATGGATGTTTCGCGGTACTTTTGAATTTGGATGGCAGTCGGCTCGATATCGATGGCACGAATGAACTCTTACGTTGTGTAATCGGTATTGTATGTGTTGGGACGTGAGACATAATCGTAAAGGGAATTAAATAAAAGACAGAACTTTTGTGCGTAAGAAATGACAAGAACAAATAAATATGTTACGCACACAAGACCATGCCAGGGAAACCTTCTACGGGACAAAAACCCCGGCATAGGCCACAAAAATACATGAAATAAATCACCTACAGCAATAAAATGCAAGAGAAAATACACATACATAACACATTTCAAATTGTATGATAAAAATCAGATAATCAAATCAAATGCAATCAAACAAGTTCATAAAAACAAAATACACAAGACATCATAAATGCAGTGGAAAACATGATAAATTAATTCAGTACAAAAACACATTATTTTATTTTTATTTTATTTTATTTTATTTTTTATTTTATTTTATTATCCCTCTCTTGTTTTGGGCCCTCAACAGGCATGCGCCCAATTACAGAGTGACCCGCACAATGCTATTTAGAGGTGCCTCTGCAGAAGGTCTTAAGATGGTCTATACTACTCCGGTATTTACCTTACGAATTAGGAAAACTGCAGGAAAACCTAATTCGGAGTAGCCGGTAGAATGCTCGGAACTGGTCTAAGGGAATTTCCATCTCCGCCACAGATGAAAAATTCACCTCAACCCAGGTTCGAACACCCGACCTTTGGATTTATAACTCAATGCTCTACCACTGAGCCATAAATCCGACAAAATACCTGTACAATCAATTGAGGTAACACAATTCGCAAAATAATAAATGGCATGTGCATAGGAAACATGTAATGGTGCGGCTCTACTCCAGCCTTCAGTTAACATAATTTTATTTAACACGAAAAGTACATGTGAGAATGCCAATAGCAAGTATTCATGTGAAAATTGATTATCGCTCAAGCAGAACATATTTTAAATATTGGAAATGGTAATGGGAGATCCCCTACTCGCATTGCTAAGATGCTAAGAACTGCAATCCGCACGAGACGAGGAGGCAAGAGATACAGCGAAAGATCGAACTGTATTAGGTACGTACTCCACGGAGACAGAATGAACCACTCGCACACACAAACATCGAAACATCAAATAAGAGAGCCCCCTTCGTATAGCTAACGCACAAGAACTGCAGCGCGCCACGAATCAGAAAGTAACAGATGCCTTCCGTCGACCTCGTCGCCATCTTCTTGATTCTCCCATAGCTTCGTTACCAAAATCCCCTAGTATTCGGCATCTGCGAAAAACGGTTGATTGGTTATATACACAGCATATCATATTTTTGTTTCAGATGTAAAGGTGTGTTGTCTAACCATAAGGGCGGATTATCACAGGTTCAAACCCCATGTACAACCAAATGCTCTTCTACATGCCCAATAGGAATGCAATGGACATTTTGTTTATTCGCCTTATGTGCCCTTTCCAGAGCAGACAGAGGTTTATAATGACCCCGGATAGATCACTGATCTGATCAGTCCCAGTTGACGTCCTCGAAAAGCGGGTCTTCCGTTATCAAAAGACAATAGCTTGTACCGTCTGAAACCGCCACCTGCAATTCGCCATTTTCTTGTTTTATTCAAGTTAATGTACGTTATTAAGTTTTGGGTGGTAAAGGAAAGTGAAGTTCAGAAATTGTCAGTGTTTGTGTTGAGTGAGCCTTGTTATCGCAAACTTGTATACGACCAGATTATTCAGATTATTAAAAAAGAAAAAAGAGCTTTCTTATTTTCACTATCGTCCACCTGCGTGCGGGGTAATATGTATTTTCTAAACTTTTTTTCATGTGTGTTTCAAAGGCTTTTTAGAGTCGTTAAACACCTGCCAAGCAAAAGTAATGGGACGGCACAGATGTCTCAATAGCTTCTCTCCGTGGGAATATTGGGAAACTGTTTTCATCTACTTTGCGAACAAAATTCGATTGACACCCCTTTTAATATTTTATGACAAAAAAATCAAAACGAGTAAAGTGTTCACAGTAATCTTTTATGTGACATAGGCTCCCTTGCCCAGGGGAGAAAGTTTATTTTTGAACTGTAGATAAGCTTCCCTATTTATGACACCGTACAGTTAGTAACCTCCAGACAATTCGATGACTTGAAGGAACCTGTTGTCTAAAACAGCATCCGAATGAAACATACAGAATACTTGAAAATTGTGATTAAAATGAGAAAGGAGCCCTCCGCGAAATTAGACCGAAAGTCTCCCTTGCATTGAATTTCGCCCCCTACAAACTCGAGCAATTTTAAGAGCGACGTTGATCAATTTCTGGACGACTGCAAACTATTTCCGAAACCCCAACAGGTCGACCGCAACGTGACGAGAGTGGGCGTCGAGGCGAACATTGACGTCAGCGTCGGTTTTGCGTGTGCACAATCTCGCGATTTGCATATTGCGTTTAATCAAGTGTCGTGATTGCGGCGTAGGAAAACAGAAACGTGACAGTATTCGGACTAGATCCGTCGTACTTCCGATATGGACTGTAATTTATCGCGACACATAAAAAGGTCTTAAATGATGAGAAGGGTTCGAAGAACGTGTCGTGGATTCTTTGACACGAATCGACACATGTATGAAAAGAGTGAAAAACTGTAGAACATTTGTCTTCCGATACGTCTCTCGTTTTTACTGGTCTTATTCATATTTCCAGTTCATTGCTCAGAGTACGAGAACAAAAGGGGGTTAAAGACGTTTCCAATTTATTTTTTCCTTTGCTTTCCGGGAAAGAAAATATTCGTGTACAAGAAACCGCTCGGTTAATCATGTTGAAAGAAGGCTTCAACCTAAAGATCTTCTGGCAGCTTTCCTTCCCCCCGATGGATATGGCAGTAAAAAACTCGTCAACTGAACTACTTTGATCCAAAGCCGTTTCGCATTCACTTAAAAATTGGTATTGATTAAGCACGATAGTCGTCGATCAAAAACATGCAAAAATTTCCGCTGTAGATTTTGCGTTTTTTGTAATTTTCTCAGCTGCTAAAAGGAATATCTAGATTTTTATTTCAGAATAGGTGGCTTTGAGGCAAGCAAAAATTTTTATAAAGAATTACATTTTTGCGTAAAGCTAAAATTAAAAATTTTTTCCCTCTTGTTCAGTCCATCCGGGGACACACTGTATAAGGGGAATTTTTTTTCTTTCGAAAAATGCCCCTAAAAAGCAAATTCTCTAGTTCCTAAGTAAATGACATAGGAACCTGTGGACCTAAAAATAAATTCAAGGCTTCAAAAGGCGTCTGCAAACTGAAAAATTTTCAAATTTCTACTCCGTGAAACCTTTACAATTTGAAGCTATGAATTTTAGGCTGCTATTTTGGAATAAAAAATTAGTGGATCAATGGTGGAGCTAAAAATATATTCAAGGATTCAAATGGCGCTTGCAACCTTAAAAGTTTCATATTTCCACCCCTTGAAGCCTTAAGAATTTGAAACTATCAAAAATTATGCATCTCGTAGGATGCTACATTTGAAACATTGTAAAAAAGCACGTTTTCGTGGTCTTCAGGAAATGAAATCTGAAGTTCTGGGATTGAGAAATATCTATAGGTACATAAGTACTTTTCAAGGCTTCAAAAGGGTTCTTCAAGGTTATTATTGCTCTAGCCTTTGAGGCGTTTAGAATTTGAGGGTATGACTTTAAAGCGGAAGGAACATAAACTATTAAATATAATCAATTACTAATTTCAATCACATCAAGCGGCAATCTAGGAGTCAATGTCTCGGTGTACTTTGACGGAATGTCAAAATGAAGATGGAGCTGCATCATGGATTTCTTCCAACCTGAAATTCTTACCCTTGTCTACAATTCTGAAAAAAATTGTGTACCAACGCTACTTAGAAGAATTGGGTGCAGAATATTTAAGGCGGTTTAGTGAAATTTGAACTAGAACTGATAGTTCTACATACCTATACAGGATTGCTCAAATTAAAATGTTCCCAATTTTGCGACACTAAAAAGTTCATTAATCTGTTCCGGTTTGACGTACACCATTATAGGGCAGTAAATGAACGTGGAATACGGGGATACTGTGTAATTTTCCGCGTCTCCAACGAATCGCATGAAAATTTGGATTTAGGTTCTACTTACCCTCCACTTCAAAGTTGAACTTGAGGTCAGGGTTGATTTTTATTTTTTAGGGGAAAAAACTACCCCTATTAGAAAGAAATCGTATAATTATAAATTAAAGAGGGCAATTGATTCAAAAATATCAATTAACATTAAACAACATAACTTAAGATTTTATCAAAGTTTAACCTCTAAATCTTACCTCTAAAATAGTTATTATTAAAACAATGTCATAGAATATTTTGACTCCACTGATTTGCATGGAAATTTGAATTTAGGTTATTCTTACCCTCCACTTCAAAATTGGACTTGTGTCATTGGTTGCTGTTTATTTTTTAATGGTTGAAACTACCCCTATTAATCATATAATTGTAAATTCAAGCAATTTGGGATTATTTAAATATACTAAAATACGATGTCTTTCGTTCGATCATGGAACTGCACTGCTGGGTGTGTTTCGGATATATGGTATACTTTGCCTTCTTTATCAGGAATTTTTAATTGTGACTTTGATTTATAATTATAAATCAAAGTCACAAGTATGTCTGTGCCTTACTAGCACATTATTATGTGTATCTTACAATGCTCCAGTAACTACACGCGTTTTGATGTATTAAATATGTGACTGGTTTTTTACTCATAAACCGGTTAATTTTTAAGCTACGAAGTGCTTTAAAAAACCATTTTTTTCACTACTAGCGTCTGATGACATGATTATTAACCTTTTTTCCATTTGTAAAGTAGGTTTTCTCGGCATTTGTTCAAAGTGGTTAATAATTTTTTATTATTAACTAGTAGTCAATAATGAGAACTGTCACGCTGTCACTTTTAGAAAACACAACCCGAAACTTTCAATAAACGTTTGGACAAGTTCTCTAAAATAATTGCCACCATTCGAAAGAGAACGAAATTCGAAAATACTCTTTGAAAAATCTGACAGACGGCCTGACTTGTACGTAATTGAGTCAATGACCGTTAGTGTTATGCAAGTGACTTTGCAACAGGCGCAAGATATTCTTAAAACCTCTAATTTAATTGTTTTACAGATTAAACTTTGAAAATAGCAAAATATTCAGAAAAGCAAAAGCTACATTTTTTTATTCTTGTAAATTTTTCGTATCACTAATACTTTTGAAGTTACTTTGAAAAAAAGGCAATTTTTCATAATTTCAAAATTTTTTTTTACTTCCAAACTACATTTTTTCAAAAATAAGCACTTTGCACCGGTCAAACTTACAGATCATATAAACAATAAGTACATAAATAAAGTTAACTGTAAAGCGGTAACGCTTAATTACAATCGGGGTGCTAACTAGGGGGTGATTACCTTGATTTTTTTTACCAACAAGAAAGGACCAACTTTATTTTGAGCGTAACTCACTTAGTTTTGATGTTAGGAACTTTTCTTAAAAACAACACTTTAAAAGAGTATTCATAAGGTTTCCCGAAAAGTGCTTCATTTTTTGGTTATTTCACGTTGAAGTACTCGATTTGGAATTTGACGAATGAGAACCTACCTTTCATGAGCTACAACTTTGCTTCAACTGGGTCTACAGACTTCATATATAGACCATTTTGTTTGTTTTTTTATAAGCTATATTTTTGCTAAGAATACTTTTTTCGATACGATACTTACTTTTAGAGTTATTTGCGAAAAACCGTCTGAAAACGTGTTTTTTTTGTTGAAAAATGAACATTTTCACTCGCAAATAACTCGAATACTATTGACTTAGTGAAAAAACTCTATAGAACTTGCTTAGAATTACTCAATTTATCAATTTCCGGACTTATTTTGAACGTATCTCCCCCCTCACGAGAAGGGGTGACATTCACCCCCCTCCTCAAGTAAAAGTAACCCTGGGCTCAAGTTCACCTTTGAAGTAGAGGGTAAAATTACACGCCAAAACGGTCATTTACTGACCTAATTAGACCTTCACTCGGAGTAGGTATGTGCCGAAACCGCACAAACCTGGAGGCAGTAGAGGTTTCATGTGGTAAGATAGACCTACTATGCTCTTGATTAAAGATTGTTACTTCGTGGAAGTTTAAAAACAGACCCACTTTACTAAAGCCGAGCGAGCCGAAGGCAGAGTAGTGGTTTGGCTTACCCCATCAGACCTTTAATCGACCTAGGTTTGTGCCGAACTCGCCTTCGGGTTGCTCGGTACCTGTTTAAAAACTATTACTTTGGCGTGAAAGCTTAATAAGGAGCTTATTGTAATAATGGTTAGAGTTACCGTATCAGACTTTTACTAGTTCAAATAATAGTTAATTACTGAAGTCTGATGTCTGAATCTGAACTTGGAATAATGCCGAAGATAAGGACGGACCATCCTGTATGTGTAAATGTTTTAATGCAGTTTAAATCTGGAAGATTTTATTACATATCAGCACGGAATTGGTTTATTTCATAGGAATGTAATTTCAGTGTCCATTTATTCATTTTAGTTTTGTTTTTAATTGCTTAATTTTTTCTTTGAATATTATCCTTCATGTAAATTTGCTTGTTTAAATTATAAGATGTTTAGTTTGCGTTATTTAGAATTAAAGAACATATTTGATCGAGTGCATTTAAGTGTAATCTGCTCGGACGCGATAAGCACGTTTTTATCACGTAGGTTAATTGATTTTTGACGATAACAACGGCTACAGGTGTGGATTTCTGTTGTTATGGAAGAGGTTACACTTCTTATTGGTGTTGCATCTAATTTGATGGAGAGAGGACGAGGCTGTTTAAGTCAGGGCGGGTAAAAAAGTGTGCACGTTTTGTACGCTAATTTTATGAAGTAATTGACTTTTGTGTTTATTTGAAGACGCAGTTTTCGTCTTATTCAGAATAATCCGTTCAGACGCAATTATCTATTTTATTTATTTATTAACCCTAGCCTTTCGGCTTCGGGGACTCTTAGGCGAGCTCTTAGGTATGTACATAGCATATAGGTATATGATACTAAGTAAGTTTCGATATAAACAAATATACCTTCTATTGCATTTTAATCCAACATCAGAAATAGCTAAATAATGTTTACTCTCTTCTCTGCAACGTCCTTCTCATCCAGTCGATTCCTCTTCCATCTTCCTGTAATATTTCTTTTACTGTTTTGCTAGTCTTGGTTTTGCTGGATTTGTATATTACGTGTTCTATCGTCTCTGTTTCTTCCTTTCATAGTCTGCTCTTTTCTTCCTCCCATCTTTTCCCGGTTCTATTTTCATTTCCGCATCTAAATCTTGCAATGGTTTTTATATTTTTGTTGTTCTTATGTAGATATTTTTGCAAGTGTAATGTTTTTATTTCTTTGTACGTGGTATTGCAGGTGCTGTTTTCTATTCGATTGATTTGGTATTGTAATTG